CAGAAGTAACCATCGCGATGGTTCTCTGGAGATTCTGTGGGAGAAGCTATTTGTGCTTCCGCCATAATTTCTGGCGGAATCCGGCAAAGCTCTCTCAATCGCTCGAGGGATTGAAGAGTACAAGTGGACCTGTAGTGCGGACCGGCAATGTCACCAGGGCGGGTGCACTCGTCGTTACTAGAACGCCTCTCGTCAAAAGACGGAGACTCGGGTCTATCGGAATCAGAAAGTCATTGGGAAGAAAGAAAAATTCAAGATCCGGCGAAGAAGGGTTTTGGTGAAGGAACGAAGAGAGAGGTTTTGATTAAAGTACAAAAGTAAAAGAAGAGAGTAATGGTGAAAAGAAGTTACCTCAAGCTAATGATGAAACCGCCTCGGAAGTCGTGTGGGAAGTGGGAAGGTTTTTCCCGTTTTAATAGTAATTAATCAATATACGGTCATAATGATGACAGATGTCACTCGGTTAAAAATGGATAGTGCCAAAATTAAAGGAGTGATGAGATTTTCGGCGGGAAATCAGAAAGATTCTCGAGCGCAATCTTTGGCCACTTGAGCATTTAAAGTCCTCCGAACTGGAATAGCACTTCGAAGAACTTGGGGGGCTAATTGTTGGTGTCGGATCCCGCACCAGAAGTACGAGACCAACCAAAGATTGCCACGTGATCAAGATAATGTCCCATAAAGGATGAAGCCCATTGGACCCGTGAGCCGAAGGGACGGTCGAAGTGGTTGTCACCATTTCGAGAATCCGAAGTGACTACACTGTGACACGAGTTCGGTGTAGAAGACACGGGTAAGTCGGTTCACGGACACTTGGGCCGAAAGAGGCGAGGCCCATGAAGATCAGAGTCAACTCAAATTCAAACGTTGAGCATTAAAGCCGAAGAATCAAAACGGACACATCTAAGAAGAAATAATTATGCTTAATTACTCATTTTAATGTCGTTTATCGGTGTATAAATATAGAGGCCGATGGCCATGTAAAGGGGATCTTCCTCTCAAGAGAGAAATAATATAGCAATTTTCGTATCAATTTACAAGTTTTTATATATTCATTTTTGTCCCTCAAGAATAATCTTTCCCACTTAACAAAAATACTTGAGTGTGTAAATCCGACATCCACAATATTGTTGATATTGAACCAATCCCACTCTACCTATTACTAATACATCAATTTTTCAATTTGCCATATCATAGAAATCGTGGATCGAAATAAAACATGTTAATAAACTTATAAAACATAAGAAAGGCCCGGCCCTTGACACATTTTAATAAAACATTTATATTGGGCCTCAAATTTTCGAGGTCAGGTGAGGATTTTTTTTTTTTATTGTGAGTCCCCATAATTAGTAAAACAGGCCTCAAAATTTGTGAAATAGGCCTCAAAATTAACAACAATATCCCATAGTTAGCAAAAATGCCTCATAATTAGCAAAAAATTCCTATAATTAGCAACAAAAAAAAATTAGTAGTTTTAGTTTTAAAAAAATCCCAAATTTTTTTTTCGTATTCGGCCCCGGATTTTACCGGACCGGCCGTGGGAAGAACGAAGAATTTGGCTGTAGTTAGGCATTAGGCAATTACAAAAAGATATTTACAACGATGAAGGGAGTGTTTAAACAAGATGTAAGTGATGAACCGAAACGTTTGAGCTGAACTAAAGAGGCTGAGCAAAATTATGACGAGCTGAAGCAGTCGACTAAGATGCTCGACGAGTTGTACTCTATATGTGTGTCAATAATAATCCAGATCTCTGTGCAGATTATTTTTTTACCCTTCTTCAGTTGGAAATCTAATTGGTCCCAAGCCGAGCAGATGGGCTGGACCCTTTTTCGTTTTGCTAAACAAAATTCCAATTTGGGCCGGGATTAATCATTGACATCAGCCCATATCCAACTAATACTCAAGTACACGAGCATATACCAAAGTTTAAAACTTTATCGATATCAGTATTATTCTTGATAAAAAAACTCTCTCATGTTCTATCTAATATGTGTCATCAAAGATTTTATGGATTGGTTCTGGTGACTCGGTTAAAAGAAATGTATTAGTAATAGGTAAAGAGGGACCAGCTCGGGCAACACGCCGTAAGTTCAAGTTTCCAACAATAAATATATTTAGGAATCCTAAGCTTTTTTAGTTAATTAAAAATTTGATTTGTTTAGTTTTGGGTAAAGTCTCCGTAACTTTTTTAGTAAATCCATGCAAAGACACATTTACATATGTATCATCATGGATATTTGGGATATTTTTATCTAAGCCTATTATACACGATAATCAATAATCTATTAGATATATCTATATGCAATACATGCGATTATGATGAACGATTTTACGAACAAATTCTATGATATGCAGTTCTCCCTATAACACTTGGATCTCCTATTGACGATTTTTACTTGCGCCGTGCTAATTAATGATGGACAATCTTACCTTTGATAATTGAAACCAGGATGGACAGTTCTGCACGAAACATTCTGAAACGTCTAATTTGTTTTGCACCAATAATCTGTAAATAACTGCATTCTATATATGTCAAGTCCAAACCTAGTTTAGAAATCTTTAAAGCTTTAATAATTTCTTACTAATAAAAGGAATACTTTGAGACTTCTCAGGGCATCTACATCATCATTTTCAAGTTTGTACCTTATGCTGCCACGTCATCATGTACTCATAAACTTTTCAAACGTTTTTTAAAAAACCCCCACGCCAAAGCCCACACAAAAACACATTAATAGCCCAAAAACCCAATATGAATTTACCCCTTTCAAAAACTAAATAGCCTATTAGCCCAAAGTTTAGAAGGAAAAAAAAAAAAACCACGAACCCTTCTTCCTCCTCACCCTCACCAGTCACCATCCAGCCATCACCTCCATTCTTTCAATCTATATCGAATCAGCTTCCCAGCGCCAGTTTCCCACCGTAATCAAAACGCCACTATCTCATCTTCACTCTTCCCATTTATTTATAACAATCGAAATTTATGGCCACTATCTTCACAGTCATGGCCTCTTCCGAGAATCTCCCTATAAAACCTCAACTCTTCGATTACACAGAGAAAGCAAAGAAAAACAAACAGTCACTCCAATAAAAACATGCCACCAAAAAAGGCAAAACAGTCTCCCCAACCGTTCACCTTTCAGATTTTCGATGACATTGATGGAGATTTCTGTGACGAAGAAGTGTTATATTCATGGGTCTAGAACTACTTATCATAGACTCCCAGGTAGGTATGTCTTTAATATTCTCAATTGATTTACAAATCCAACACGGTTCCAAACTAATCATTCAGCCCACAGTCAAATGCAGTGCAAGGATTCATATCTGCAAACCGGCTATTCCACTAAGAAGAGCATCTCAAGCGGAACTCCATTTACAAGCTCAAAAAAATCTACAAAGTCTCAGACCACAAACATGGAATCTGCTTCACCGAGAAGACGTCAATGGTAAACGTGACTTTGGGAGATCATCAAATTGACGAGCAGAAGGTTTCAGATTCCGTAATTTCGAAGAATTTTCTGCAATTGTCGACACAAATATTGATCTCTTTGGTAAGCAAGGGTGATTGGAGGTTACTCTGATCTGAATGAACCGTGACAATATCATTTTCTAATAATTCATTCTGATGGCTGCTGAGGTGATCATGTGAACACATGAATCGGAAAGGGTTAGTGAATCCACAAGTAAGGGAGAAACAGAAACGAGAGAAGAGACTCTCAATCATATTCCACATGTTTCTATGAGTTTAACATTCAGGGTTGTTTAATAAGTGACATGTTTTTTTAGTTGATACAGAAACATGGTCCTTCATGTATTCATTGGGGATAAAGAATTTTCAGTCAAACAAACCCCTTTAACTCATTAATTGAGATCTTCTCTTAGTTTTCTTTATCCAACTGACGCCTTACTTCCATTTCAGTTGAATTATATATGTGGATTGGTGGATCATGTACGATGACAAACCCAAGGTAACAGTATTGAAATACTTTTGAGTTTGGAGGCACATACACTATTCCACATTTATCACCTATTTTATGTACGATCTGTAGGTGGATTGGTAGCTAGAGTGATGTACTTTCTATGTGCTAGAGAGGACACTTGCAACCACATGTTCTTCTCTACTAAACGTTAAATCAAAAAGAGAACAAAAAAAACAGAGCAAGTGGAGATCTGTTGCTGACTGTTTAGGAGATCTCCCAAGTACACACTACAAAGGAATTAGAGCGAAAACCAGAGAGGAAGAAATGTGATTTACACATTATGGTTCTGAGAAGTAAGATTAAGTCATTGTCACGTTAAGGATTATATGTATATATAAATCTATCCAACCTTCTTTTTTGTCGATCAAACTCTATGGATCATTTATATCATCTTAACCACTAGCAAAATAGAAGATAGAAGTTAAGAGAAAGATTGCATACATCTAATCCGATAAAGTTTTCACATTTATCCTTTAACGTTAGTTGTTTACAAATATATTTTTACATTAATATAAATATAAAAGATATGTACTCTTTTCTATCGCTGTTTTTCTTCTTTTTCATTTAAGGTAAACTGCAATTGAATTGCATTTTAAGCTTGAGATTAGCCGAAGAGCTCTTGGACAGGTGGTGTGACAACTTTCTTTGTTTGCTTCTTTTGGTACCAGAGTAAGACCTTGCTTAATTATCTACATGTCTTTTACAATATAAAAAACAAAAGTCTACATATTGCACGATTTATGTTGGGTGTACATTCTTCTAAGTTTGTGTCATAACCGTGTCACAAACCCCAGCCACAAGCCTAATTAATTTTTAAAGAGAAAAAGGTAATACTTTCATATTTTCATATATATTGGCCTGGTCGGAGAGAAAGCGATAATTTTATAAGGAGATTACTCTACAATTATATAAGATTTGGAAGATATATCGTTACTAATATTGGTTCCATCAATTTCTATTAGATTCTCTTGTGCAAACTAAAAGATTTGTGGGAAAGCAGCAACAACAGTATAAATCCAGCATTAACCAAAAAACCAGTATAATTTCAGATACTCAAATAGCTTTGTTAAAATGGATAGGAGAATCACACAGAGTAAAAGAGAATTTACCAGAGATATTGTTGGACTTCAAGAGACAAAGGCAACATGTAACAACCAATGTATTTTTGCTTTTATCATTTGTACCACATAACTTTTACCTCGATTTTAGGCAAAGAAGTCGATGAATCAAAGTTTTCCTAAAAAAAACCTCTAACTTAATATAACGATCAAAGGAGTTTACAAAGAAACTACACAACTGCTGAGATACAAGTACTCCACAACATAAACATTGAATTCAATAAACGATTTAACAAAATAATATATTGATGAATCAAAGAGTTTTACAGGACAAAATCATATGCAGAGACATATGCAAACAATTATATTCAAATTAGTTAAAATAAATGGTGATACAACTTAAACCAAACTATTAAGTCAAAATGAACAGTTTATTATTTATCTATTTTAAAATTTAATGAACATATGTAATTGCATTTTTCCCTACAAAAATCACAAACAATTTCATAATACTATTTTTATATCAAAATAATAAATCCACAAATAACATACCCGGGCGTAGCCCGGGATAATCCACTAGTTTGAATAAACGACTCTCACAATAAAATATTGTTTTAACAAATCACTTATGAGGTAATGAGTCTCACCTTGTATTCTCTTTTTGCTTACGTCGAAGGTAAAAATGTCTATCTGTTATGCTCCTCCAACTAATTATTTTTCCAACTACATTTCTTTTTATCTATCTAAAAAACCCTGAAGAAAACATGTGAAAGATGGGATTTTCTCGCCTTTTGGCTTGGTTAAGCAGGAAAATATGTATCTAATAATTGCTTTGTTGTGTCTGGAGGCAATTATTTTTTTCCTTTATATAATCGAGGGGCCAATAAATATATACATGCATTGATAATAAAGATGCACCTAGAAGTACTAATATTCTTTTTGTTATTGCTAGACGACAGAAACCGTACCCTTTTGACTCGGGTCTTTACTCTTTACCTCTCGATGAGACCACATAAAGATATATAAAATTGTAACGAACATATTTTATTGAGCTTCTTTACCCTCATATGTATGTAACTCTTCTTCAAAAATTAAAAGAGAGAGAGAGAGAAAACTTGGTAGAATCTGTCTTTGATAATCATGATGCGATTCACAATCATAGTAATAGCTTTCCTTTTGATTATTCAGTCCCTAGAGGAGGAACATGTCCTAGTCTATGCTCATGAAGGTGCCTTTTACATGAAGATCCCTAATTTTTCCTTTTCTTCCATACCTTACTTTTTCTTGCATATTTTTTTATTTGATTTTTGACGATTAGCTTACTAACAAATTTTGTTTACATTAAATCTCTCGATTTGAATTCATAGGCGGAGAAGCTGGTCACAAGAGTCTTGACTACCTTGGAGATCAAGATTCATTGACACTGCATCCTAAAGTAATACATTTATTTTCAAAGAATCTTTCTCTAACAACTTTTATATATGTTTTTACTGATATGGATTTATACACCATAACAGGAATTTTACGATGCACCGAGGAAACTAAGGTCCGGGAGAACAACAAGAGCCGAGAAGGAGCAAGTGACCGCGATGAACAATGATAATTGGGGCTTCAAGATTTCAGGTGCATCAGAGCATTTGACAGTGGAACGTAAATTAGGGTTTCATAAAAGAAGTAAGAGTTCTTCATTTAAATGGAAACCCAAGAAGAAAAAATCATCTGGTCCATTTGTAGCTTTCTATGATGATTATCGTGGACCAGCACGTCATCCTCCTAGACATAATTTATAATCACGACAACAACAATATATAATTTGTAATAATATTTGTAGCATATTATGTTTACTTTGTTTGATTAGTTTTATGCTTAAGCTTCGGTAATCATTTTAGTTGTTTGTAAAAAGTAGAACACTTTCTTTCTCCTTTATAAAAAAGAACTTTAATTTTTATTCTATAATGTTTGGTAAAAGTAGTGAACATGTCTTCATTCTAGATATGATGTTTTGGCTTTACTGCAGGAGAGCAAAAGCAGACCAATATATTGCGCAGATCATGACACTGATACCGGGGGTACCCTCAGAACTAGGCCATCGCCT